AGAGTTCATGTTTAATATTCCTAAAACAAGGTTAACTAAACAAAATAAAAAGAATATGGTTCCCATGAATGAACATACGGCTCAAGAAACGTGGAATAAATAATTTAGGAATGCGCCAAGTACGCATTTTACCGGAAATTTCAAAAAAAGTTATGTTCAGTAAATGAAACGAAGAAGTGTAAAGAAACGGATCCGATTTCGCACACAGAAACTATAAATCAATTGAGTGTTGAAAATAATGATATTGATAATAATAATGATGATGATGATTATAATGAAAATTTTACAAGCTCAAAATTGTACATAGTTATTGAAAAAAAATTCGGATTTTTTTTCTTTTCTTTGCATTTTCTGAGAACATTATTGACCATAGTAATGTTTATATTTTCTTACATTATCAGAAAGAAGAGATTTCAACGAACAAAAAACGCCCCGAGTATTTTTAAAAAGCTGTCGTATTTTGACGCGAGAATTTTCGATTGAAAACTAGAGCGTTTTTTCGATATCAAGTCAATATAAGGTGAAAAAATAGTTATTTTTGTATCTAGAGCGCAAAATGCTACTTTGGTGATCGAGATCTGATTTTTTTAACGAGGCACAGCCGAGTTGAAAAAATAGTCGAGATGACCAAAGTATTTCGCGCTCGAGTTGCAAACAAAATTTTTTCTACAAACGTCAAAAAATATAGTTCTAAAGTAAAAATATGCTTAACTTGATATAAAAAATAGTGTTGAACTGGCTTGAAAGGTCTCCCCCTATCCTCCCTAGGTACGCACGATGTTCCACGAACATAATAGGAATTTCCTTTCATGCGCTCCAAGAGAAAAAACAAAGTTATTGTTGAACATTCAGAAATAAATGATTTTGTAGATTTCTGCTCGATTGAGGACCATAAAGTTGAAATATAAATATCTCATTTATTTGACATAACAATGCGCGAAGTAGGTACTTCGCGCACTGTTTTACTTCGCGCATTGTTTTGTGCAAGGAATCATGGTAACGTAGGAAACTGAAAAAAAGTGTCACTTCGCAATTTGTTATCAATGCGCGAACCTTGTCATTTTTTGACGTTTGTAGAAAATAAATATTTCAGATCAAAAAAATTACAGTGTCTTCAGGATCGTAGCTTATTGGTGTGGGATGATAGGGCTACCGGCGAACTACCCTCTAACAAAAAAAAGTAACGCGCCCACGTCAGAGTTTTTTGTTGAATATTCCAAATTATTGTGAATAAACTCATAATAATAAAGAAGTATAGTCTTTGCAAAGTAATTTGAGACAAATTCAGCAAAAAACATGTCAACAATAACAAGTCAAGTGCCTTTATAACGACTATATATACATATATACCATCTCTGACTAGGCAATACCTCCTGGTGGGTGTGGAAATTTGCCATTTATTTACTATATAAGTATTGTGAAAATTCAGTGAGCATATCATAGGGTTGGAACAAACTCATGAAGAGCTTGATATCGCAATTTTTTTGCAAAAGGGTCCAAAAACAATATTTTTGAAAATTCGGTTTTTTTCGTGTGGAGTCTTCCATACGATTTAGCAATGAATTATTTTCTGATAGTATGATTCTACACATAATTATCTTCACCTACCTTCCTGATCCAAAAGCAGCTAAGCAGTTTTTTGCAAATGTGTCGAAACAAAATATATTCGAAAAATCAGTTTTTTCCGTGTTGAGTCTACCATACGATTTCGCAATAAATTATTTTCTGATAGCATTATTCAAACACATAATATTACCCATCTTCCTGACTCGAAATAAGCAGCCTGTGCAGTTTTTTGCAAAATTATCGAAAATGAAGTAGTTATTTTTGTATCTAGAGCGCGAAATGCTACTTTGGTGATCGAGATCTGTTTTTTTTTTAAATACTCGAGATGATCAAAGTATTTCGCGCTCGAGTTGCAAACAAAATTTTTTCTACAAACTTCAAAAAATATAGTTTTTAAGTAGGTAAAAATATGTTAGCTTGATATAAAAAATAGTATTGAACTGGCTTGAAAAACCTCCCTCTATCCTCCCTAGGTATTTCCTTCCGTGCACTCCAAGAGTTAAAAAAAAGTTATTGTTGAACATTCATCAGAAATAAATGATTTCCTGGATGTTTGCTCGATTGAGGACCATAAAGTTGAAATATAAATATCTCGTATATTTTACATAACAATAATAATGGGCGAAGTATATGTACAGGGTGGGCAAAATTGGGCGTTTTCACCGTCTATCTCAATAACTAGAGGAGTTATCGAAAAACCGATATACATGTTCCGGGTTCGATTTTGGAGAAACCTCGAATGGCACAATCAATATTTCGATTTCTTCATTCGTTTTAGAGATACAGGGGGAAATTGAAAATTTGCCGATTTCGATTTTATTACCTGACTACTTCACGGTGAGAGGTATCAAAAAATTTCAAACTTATATTGATATGATATAATATGATGCGTGGAATCCATTGACATCATCAGAAATTTTATACAGGGTGACGTTGAAAAGATACGGCAGCCAATTATGTTTTTTCTGATGGAACACCCCGTATATTTTGGCACAGTTGAATAGTCCCAGGCGTTCTCATTACAAATATATATATAACCCTATCTTTTCCTTTCACAATTTCTGATATATTCGCAAAAATATATTCAGTGTGTCACATTTCTTATGGTTACACCCCCGTATCTTCTGTAAAAATAATTGGGGTAGGATTCAAAAATTCGCAACTGTCAGAAAGATACAAATGATACACTCATGGAGTCATGGACCAAGTGGAATCATCTCCAATGATAACACTGCTCGCCAGCAGCTATGGAATCATCGATATTTCTGGATAATGCTATCAACAGGCAGAATCGAGGTTGAAAATGACACTCGTATATATTCACCAATTGTGGAAAATAAATATCATAGGGAATGTAATTTCCAGATAAATGGATATTTGGTAAGAAATGAAATAAGAAATTATTCGATTTCATATAATTGGTATCAAGACATTCAAACTATTCAAGATACAGAAATAAGAGGAATAATTTATTTATTTAAGAAATAACAACGTAATATAAAGATATGGCTTCATAGGATATGTTCAAATTGTCTTCCATTTTGGCATAAGCAAACTTCACATCGTTTCCTTACAGAATTCACTGCGTTGGTGATATGAATGGGTCTCACTTTTTGGAATGCTGAAATAACGTCTTCACGTAGTTCTTCAGCGTTTTGGCGATTTCGGCGGTATATATGGTTTTTTAGAAATCCCCACAAGAAAAAATCCAAAGGACTCAAGTCTGGTGAACGGGGGGGCCATCGAATTGGTCCATTTGTACCAATCCATTTTTGTGGAAACTTTCTAAGATGCCTATAGTTATGAGCATTTCAGGTATATAGCTGGCTTGTGACGAAATTATCATGAGAATATGTTCGCCTTGAAGTCCAGTGACATTACATTAATTCGACACATAATATTGATGGAAACATTAACAATCATAATATTTTGTGGCAGAATGCCTGAATATGATACTTTACCCATTATTTCTAGTATGCCTCAATATTTTCGCGTTCAAAGAGATAATAAATAAGATATATATTTGAAATTGAAACGGGAACTTTCCAGCTCTGCCAAAATATACGGGGTGTTCGATAAAAGAAAATGTTCTGTATCTGGAATTTGGGCGCCGCATCTTCTATAAGGCTATATTTTTCAACGCAACCTACTGATTTACTAATTGGATAAATTATTGGTCTCATTTCTGTATCTCAAATGTCTTGATAACAATGATATCAAATCGAATAATTTCCCATTTTATCTCTCACCAAATATCCATTTGTCTGGAAATAACATTCCCTATGATATTCATTTTCCACCTTTGGTGAATATATACAGAGTGTCATTTTCAGCCTCGATTCTGCCTGTTGATAGCATTATCCAGAAATATCGATGATTCCATAGCTGCTGGCGAGCAGTGTTATCATTGGAGATGATCCCACTTGGTCCATGACTCCATGAGTGTATCATTTGTATCTTTCTGACAGTTGCGAATTTTTGAATCCTACCTCAATTATTTTTACAGAAGATACGGGGGTGTAACCATAAGAAATGTGACACACTGAATATATTTTTGCGAATATATCTGATATTGTGGAAGGAAAAGGTAGGGTTATATATATATTTGTAATGAGAACGCCTGGGACTATTCAACTGTGCCAAAATATACGGGGTGTTCCATTAGAAAAAACATAATTGGCTGCCGTATCTTTTCAACGTCACCCTGTATAAAATTTCTGATGATGCCGATGGATTCCACGCATCATACTGTATAAATATACGTTTGAAATTTTTTCATACCTCTCACCGTAAAGTACTCAGAAAATAAAATCGAAATCGACAAATTTTCAATTTCCCCCTGTATCTCTAAAACGAATGAAGAAATCGAAATATTGATTGTGCCATTCGAGGTTTCTCCAAAATCGAACCCGGAACATGTATATCGGTTTTTTGATAACTCCTCTAGTTATTGAGATAGACGGTGAAAACGTCCAATTTTGCCCACCCTGTACTTAATTCGCGCACTGTTTTACTTCGCGCGTTGTTTTGTGCAAGGATATCATGGTAACTGAGATGTTTATTATAAACATCTCAATGGTAACGTAGGAAACTGAAAAAAGTATCACTTCGCAATTTTTCATCAATGCGCGAACCTTGTCATTTTTTGACGTTTGTAGAAAAAATATTTTTGAAATTTTATAGTCTCATACTTATGATTTGGTAATGAATGCTTATATTATTGTTTTTTTTTAAAGTAGGGCATTTAATATTAATTATGATAATAATGTGTTAGGAGTTTAACTTCATACATCGCATCATCCCAAACAAAAGCAATTGAGGAATTTCGATATTCGGTACCTACCCAAAAAGGGGGAAACCAGAAACGCGTGCCACTGGTGAATCGGGAAAGTTCGGATATTCTGGCAGCCATCTCTGGCAGCCCACTTCACGTAGGTGGCTGTTTGTTGTTTGTAGATACAATGATCAAAATCAAAACATTAGTGTGTCTTCGGTTGTAATTTTCATCTGTGATTCCTGTTTGGGTAATCTGCTATTTCTTTTCTGGACCTTTGGACGGCAGGATAAAATGGATTATGCCAAATAATATACCACAGCTTAAAAGTAGGTGAACATGAATAGTATTAAAAGATCTTAAGCTATGAGTATCCTCATAGATATAGAGTTCATTGGGATAGCCAGGATAGGTAGTATTTATGCACTTTGTCACAACTATACCTTTTCAACTTCAATTTCGGAATCGGTGAGTTATATTTCGGAAAAAGTAATCTCGATTTCAGAATTGGTTAGTTCGATTTCAGAAAAGGTAAACTCAATTTCAGAATTGGTGAGATGAATTTCAGAAAAAGTCCATTCAATTTCAGAAATGGTAAGTTGTATTTCAGAATTATTATTGGTAGGTTCAATTTCAGAAGATGAAATCCTTTTATATGTTTGAAATGTTTTTAATTGCAAAAGAGAAGATTGTTTACAGTGGATGAACGGTGTTTGAGAGCCCTATGTTGAATCAGATTGAACATAAATATGGGGTGCCTTCAAGTCAGAAGTGAAGAGCTTCTTGCAAGAGCATCGCCAAAGGGTCATAGCTGGGGATCCGAACAGCTTGCTCAACCAGATAGAATTCAGACTGCGATGTCTTGAGGAATGTGCAGATCATTCAATGAAAATGATAACACCTCAAATGTGTTTTCATTCTCATAATCATGTGCAACGCTATTATCTTCCAGCGATTCGGATGGAAGGCATCTGTGGATTGAATTGTGATTATAATTATGTTATTGAATTGTTTTTGACAAGTTGAATATTGTAAATATGATTTGTTAATCTCAAATACAATTGGAAACATTTCGAACAAATATAAGGATTTTTTTTCTGATATTGAACCTACCAATTCTGAAATACAACTTACCATTTCTGAAATTGAATGGACTTTTTCTGAAATTCATCTCACCGATTCTGACATTGAGTTTACCATTTCTGAAATCGAACTAACCAATTCTGAAATCGAGATTACTTTTTCCGAAATTGAAGTTGAAAAGGTATAGAGCTTTAAAAAACGAAACAAGAACGATCATTGAAGAAAGTGTATAGACACAGCTGACTAGTTGACAGATTTTACTTTTTCTGTGGACTGCAGACTTGTGAATACATTCTTCTCACAAAACAAATACATTCAGGAAGTTTTATGAAATGATCATCACTCAGTGAATACCAAATGTTCTTTATATTCTGCAAAGGTATATACCATTACAATTATGCATACTTACATATTCTCCTGAGACCAGAAAGGTTTGATACCGAACCAAGTTCATGAGCTGCTTATTAACAATGGCTTCATTGGTACAAATCATTCAAGAACTCCAAACTTCAATGCAGTAGGTAGCTAATGCAAATGAAATAAATATCAAGACCAGTAAAATCTTCTTATACAGGGTGTCCTGAAATTAGCCTGCCAAACTTCACCAGCAGCTTGTAGGACCAAAAATAGAAAGAAAACTTTCAATGAACATGAGTCCAGAAATGTCTCCTAAGGGAGCTACGGCCCCCTGAAAGGGGGCTACTGAAGATGATATTTCTTGAGTATTTCTGAAACTCCATGTGATAAAAAGATACAATTTGGTACAAGAAATAAACTTTCCATGCCCAATGCAGTGAAAATGATATCATCTCAAAATTTCAATCAGGAGTGTATAATACAGGGTGGGACTACATTAAATATTGCTCAAAATTTTTTGCATGCATATTTTTCCACAATTCAATCCTGGATTATGAAATTTCTCACCTTTTTACAGAAAAAAGGAACTCTTGTTGTAAAAGCAATTTAAAAATAATCTTACATCTCAGATATTATGCATAACATTGCAATGAGGCATAGTGGAAATGGAAAAAAATACACAAAAATTGAAGTAGTTTTTTCATCATCATTTTCCTATTTTTTGCGATTTTGTGATATTGTTTGGTAAAAATGAAGTACTTTATTTTTTTATAGCCACTATGATTTGAAAATTGGCAACGTTATGCATAAGATGTGAGTGCACTGATATTTTTAAATTGATTTCACTTGAAAATGATACATCTGATTGATGCGGAACAAGAGCACCATATTTTGTGAAATGTTTTGGATTTTCAGAATCAGAGATGAATTGTCAAAAAATATGCATAGAAAAAAGTTTGGACGATATTTAATGTAGTCCCACCCTGTATCATATACTCCTGAATGATACTTTGAGATGATTTTATGTTCACCGCATTGGGCATGAAAAGTTTAGTTTTTGTACCAAATTGCAGTATTTTATCACTTGGCGTTTCGGAAATATTCAAGAAATATCATCTTCAGGAGCCCCTGTTCAGGGGGCTGTAGCTCCCTTAGGAGACATTTCTCGACTCACGTTCATTAGAACTTTTCTTCCTATTCTTGGTCGAAGAAGCCGCTGGTGAAGTTTGGCAGGCTAATTTAGGGACACCCTGTATAGTGTATTATTAGGCATCTATGGTGTGTGATGAGGTGTGTAATATTCAAGGAAACTATGGTATCAATATATTCATATATTGATTGGATTGTGTCAAATCTAAAAATGAAAATTTTGGCTAGACATTCTCTCAGCAGGGAAGTTAATTGATCAGTACTTACAAGCATTGCAACAATCAAGTAAAAGTATCACAAAGTCAAAAAAATTACAGCTCACTATCGAAACAGTCAAGATTTCATCAAAAACTCTTGCAGTGTATCAAGATCTTATTAAACAATGTCTCTTCAAGGTGCTCCTGATAAAGCTAGAGCTTCTGAAATTGATCAACAACATTTTGAATCATACACTTCAACTTTTGGAACAATCAAAACCTGTAATAAAGACTAATATAGCTAGCGGAACACTCAAAATATCAGGGAAAAACCGCATTTTGTATGGAAGATTTTTTGCGCACTTGTTCTTAATACCCAAATGAACGATTTGCCCCGCACCCCCCTTTTTTTTGGGTGTGTGGGTTCGATTTTCAGGGGGTAGGGTAGGGGTTCATTCCATGATGATTTAAAAAAAATCAAAATGAAGCTATAAAGGTGATCCAGATGTCGATTCTATATAAAATTGTCTTGAAGAATCTGATGGTGGCATCCTTTCAGCTCTCTGTTTACTGGAAGTTTCTCAAAAAGCCGCCATTTTGGAAAATAGCACCTGGTATGGTACCATTGACAAGCTTGCATAATTCGAGATTAGAGCCCAGTGAGGTATGGATTTACATATTTTAGGGGTCTCTGTGTAAGAATTTACCAAAAAATCATCCCAAGGTCACTATTGTAAAAAAAAGATGTTCATGAAATGCGGTTTGAAGGGTGTGGAAGTATTTTAAAAATCACATTATAAATCTATATAGACGCTATTGAAGTGCAGTTTTCTACTAAAATAGTCCCACTTGTGTTTATAATGCATCATCTTATGATCTTACTAAATTGGTAAGAAGCCTCCATTTCGAAAAATGACTGTCAGAAAAAAAAGAAGAATGGAACATATTGAGTTGAACAATCCATGGAAAAATAAACATATAAGAAAACAAGGATCAAGAACATTGTTGAAGTGCAAATAAATATGAAATTTATCACATGGTATAACACAACAACTATACGGATACCACTATGTATAAAATAAATAATATGATATGATAAACTCACTCTAGGTGAAACAATCAAAAAGTCATTGCATTATATGAACAAGTGATACTTCGGTCAATGCATGGATCGTTTGTATGAAGATTATACTGCTGATTTGAATAGGCGCGCCATGAACCAGCTGGTATCTGGTACCCTGACTCACATCCCCTCTTGTTTTCTCCTATCGTCTCTCTCGCTTCATTAGTGTGCATGTTATCGCTTGTGTTCTTGGGGAGGACACTTCCATTTCACTTAGAGGGTTCCACGCTTTCACTGGATGTGACACGGTATCCTTTTTCGGTTCGAGAAGAAAACAATCAGCATGGAATGCTTTCTTGAATTGCTCGACGTAAGTTATATTTCCTCGGTGATCTATTGATATGTATTCAAGAAACGCTCCATTCCATTCACAGACGCGAAGACATTATATTAGCACTCAAGAAGATCTCACATCCAATACTAGCAGATACCATAGACGATGATCTCATCAAGACGTTGGAGAGATTCACGGTATACATGTACGGGATCCGTGACGAGACCTGCTCCGGTGTGAATGAGGCTCGGAAGCACATGTTTGCTACAGAAAACAAACATATTGGTGCAATTCCGCCCTCTCTGGAAGCTTTTGTTCAACATATGAAGAGAGCTGCTTTCCAGAGTGGACATATTTGGTGAAGGGCCCTTGAAAATTCACCACCACCATCCCCTGAAGCGTGGAGATGGAAAAAAAAAGGAGATACCTGGGTTCCGCTTTGGAGTGAGCGTCCCGATATCTGGTCGTCTTGCAGGACTCTAGATAAATGTGACTGCAAGTCTGGATGCGACACAAAACGTTCCTGTCGTAGAAACATACTACCGTGCTACCTGGGATGCACAAGTTGCAAAGGAGACTGTTCGAATAAAAAGTAAGTCGCTTTGAATGATCCAGTGTGAAATATTATTTCATATCACTGCTTAATGTAAGACCCAAACGCAACTCGAACCCCACCCACACCAAAATGAAGAGGAGGAGGTTGATGGAGGAGTAAATTAGTTGAAACATTGATCAAGGTTTGTATGTTCATCATAAATAGTTATACCTCAACTAAGATGTTCTTTTTTCTAGATATGACCTGAACATTCACCCTGGAAATCGATATTTTCGCATGTAGGTACTAGAATATTTGAATTGAAACAATAAAAGTCGAAATTAACAGCATCGAAAAGTGCTATTCAGTGTTGTTCAATTCATAATAGGCGCTCAGAATTTTTTCACATTCATAAACTCACTTAGCGAATTTTCAATATTATTGGTGGTCGAGTTGGCGGCCATTTTATGAAATGGCGGATTTCAAACTGGATTATGCTCGTCAGAGCGATGCTTCATCTATGTGGAATAGGAAATTTCCATTAAAGAACGTCTCTCACTTTCATGAAGAATATGGCTTTATTTTAATTTTCAGCATATGCGCATACCTTT